ATCCATCCATCCATCCATCCATCCATCCATCCATCCATCCATCCATCTACCTATCTACCTATCTACCTATCTACCTATCTACCTATCTACCTACCAACCTATCTACCTATTTGGCTATCTATCTATCTATCTATCTGTATACATAACGTGTATATATATATATATATATCATATATCTATATATCAAATTGTACTGTATCATCTATATCATGCTAGGCTATACTATATCTCCGATGATTCGCACCGCATGTTTACTTGGGTCCACAATGGTCGGCTGTTGCCTTAGGACCTGTTGGAACTTCTGAGGCCTCAAAAGGTTGGGTTGGCGATCGTACCTGTTGACCCGCTGGGTCCATCGCTCCCCATGGTCCCGCTTCCGATTGGAGCCTGGGACCCTTCGAGCGGGCGGACCAAAAGGGGGAAGCCTTTGTGCAGCCCTGCTCGCTAGGCAGTCGGCCCAGGGTGCAGTCAGCCAATGGGCTCCCACCCCGGTTTGAGTAGGTGATCCTGGGAACTGATATGATAGAAGGGAACCCATTGATTCATAGATTTGCTCGGTTTGATCAGGTTCATCATTCCCCAACAGTCTGAGAATTGGATCCCATCCCGTTCAGAAGTTTGCTTCTTTCAGGAAGTTGTTCTTTGTTGAATTATACTTCTATGTTTACATTCGTTTTTGTCACATCAACCTCTCTACTTATCTATGTACCTATCTAGTTCTTGCCTACAGAAAAAGCATATGCATATATATAATATATATATAATATAATATATATATATATAGCGAGAGAGGAGGGATGTAGATGTCACAATGCCGCCCACGAGCCCACGAGCCCCGTCAGGCCTGCCGGCCAACACCAGCCAGGTGGTCAGCGATTGTGAGGGACTTCGCACGGGCGACCTGACGACAGCATCGCGGTGCGGTCGTGTCGGTCCTGCATCGGATCGTGTAATCCCAGACACACGAAACTGACTTTTTCAACCTGCATGGTTGATTTTGGAGGGGTCAATGTAGGCATATTAGCCACCAGTCCCATGCGGTGGAAACGGCATCACGTGCGCCATGTGGGTCAGTTGAGCTTTGTCACGAAGTTTCGCCATGTAGAGTGACCAGGTCACAAAGAAGTTTGCAAGCCACGGGTGTAGTGGCATGCAATCCAAACGTGTTACAACTGGTAGTTGACCAGGTAGGCTGTGTCAGAATGTGTGATCAAACGATGGGGGGACAATGCAAGCTAAATATACCCAGAATATCACAGACCATCCATGTAGGGAAGAGCTACTTAAATGGGTGATCATGGATGGGTCATAAATAGGTTCACCATTTCTTTGTTTCCCTTTCTGGAGATTCTCCGCGTGAAACCATGCTGGATTGTCCCGATTTTCTTGGGGTCAACACGCTACACATGGAGTGTAATCGCCGGGGGGTCAGGTTGAGTTGGCACTGAAAACGAAGACAAAACACCTGAAAACACCTTAGCAACCATTAAACATCAACCAACAACATTAACAACCACTCAAACTTCCCTGGTTTTTGTCAGTCTGACGAATAGTCAACCGCCGTTTGTCTTCTAGAATTCCGCTTGCAGAGACTCGGCCAAATTAGGCGAGCAATGTCACCAGCATTGCGCGGTGGGCTATGAAAACACCACGGAGGAGACCAACTTTGTGTGTGACCCGGCGGCCAGTGGGGAGGTCCGATGTGTTGAGAGAGCACGAGGAACTCGGAACGACCTCAATGGTCATGCATTTATATGTATATATATGTGCATTATTGTATGTTTGTGGTTTGTAGGCTGAGTTTACTAGGCTTTGCGAACTTAGCTTGCAAGAATGTTTGTAAGTCTGAATGTGTTTGTGCACCCTGCTTGTCGCGAGACTACAGCTGCAAGATCAGATACAGGCGTGTCCTGATGTACATGATAAAAACGGCTACTGGACTCCCGGCACCTCCGGGTCACATACAGATAAGATGGATAAAGTAATCACCTAAACATCGTATGTGATAGCCTAGCAGTAGACCGTTGGCCCCCGACCATGCACATGCTTGTCCTCCAAGAACTCCATGACCCACAAAACCGCTTTCATAACGTCATAACGT